CAGCCCCGGAGGCAGCCTGGGCCTGGTGACCCTGGTGCCGGGGGCGCCGGGCTGCTGGAGGGATTACGTCCTGGCCAAGGTCCCTCCATGGCCTCCCTCGCAGAGTGCCCCCGGAGCGTCCAGCCCTGGCAGGCTCCTCACCCAGGCGCGTGTCCCTCCCCAGCTCAGGATCCAGCAAAACCACCCCAAGACCAGCCCCAGGGGGCGCTCAGCCTGCCAGGACCCCCTCCGCTCGGGAGTTGCCATGGGGATGATGGGTCCCCCCCCAGAGGGGGCTGCATTTCCACGGTGGGAGAACTCACGGGTGGCCTGAGGCGGGAAAGCCCTTTTCTTCCTGCCCTTCTCGGCCCCTCCCCCCGTAAGGCAGGGTGCAGAGCCCTCCCCAGACAGAGGGAAGCAAGGAAGGCAAAGACTCCCCCACCCAGGACCGAGCACGGTGCTACCCACCCTCCCGCAGAGAGGCGGACTCCGCCCCGGGACTCGTGAAGGAGCGTTGCGGCTGGCCTGGCGGAGTGTGGGGGGCAGGAGCGTGTCCTTCGGGTTGCCAAGGCTGCTGCTACGTCCCCTTGGATCCAATTCACAGGAGTAGAGAAAATGGCGCTTTGTGTGCAGGGTTATTTCCTGCACGACTCACATTTGCACGTGGCTGTTCTGCACGAGCCACGCTTGCAGGGGTCCCCTCCGCGGGATGCAGGCAAGGGACCGCCCTTTGCCACGGGGGCAGCGTGACCCACAGCCCCTTGCCACGGAATGATGCAGGCACGGCCACCAGAGGGCAGCAGCTCAGACCTCCTCACAGCCCCTGGTTCCCAGCCCCGCTCTCTGCTCTCGCCTCTCCCCCCAGCCACGGAGGAGGGGGCTGGAGAGAACCAAACCAAGGCCCAGAGCAATGAACCCTTCCCGGGATCTTCCCAAAGTGCAACCGGCCCGGCTCATGGCAGAGTTCACCGGGGCTCACAAGCCCTCGCACCGACCCACGCCTGGGCCGGCCATCATGACTCCACTGCATGGCTGATGCTCTGGCAGCCTCCCTGGCCTGCCCTGCGGCCTGCCCGCCCGGAGGTAAGCCAGGCACACCCCTGCCATGAAGGGCTCCGGGCCCGCCCAAAGCAGGAGCATTACAGGCAGTTTCCCGTCCCCGAGTCGGTTGCCCCTGTTCCGGCTGGTGAGCCAAAGAGAGCACAGGCAAGGCCCACAGAGCAAGCCCCAGGTGACCTGGAGAGGCTCTAACGTCTGGAACAACGTAAACGCTCCGCATCCCTCGCTGTAGCTGTCCCGCCTGCCCTCGTCCAGGCCTCTGCCCCAAGCAGGGTCTCTCCGCAGCCAGCGGAGAGAAGCAATTGAGAGAGCAGGCACTCTGCTAACATACGCCCGCACACACAGACCACGATCCGGCGCACTGCCTAGAATACTGCCTGCCTGCTTCCAAGACTGGCACCTGGCCTCCACCTACTCCCCTAGGGCCATGCCGCGAGGAAACCTGCCTGACCCCAGCTGGAGAGACGCTGCTGCCCTGAAGCATGACGATAGCTAGAGAAGTGGTTCTTTTTATCCCAGCCGTGGTCACTGAGCCTCTTACTCACCCTGCTAAACTCAGCTGGTCTTTTCTGGGAGCATTTCGGAGGGAAACCCCCTCGCTCGCTGTTTTGGCCTGACAGTTTCCATGGAGAGTTTCCTGTTCTCACTAAGAAGCACAAAGCCGCGTCTTCCACAGTGCCACCCCCACCACGCTGGTGGAAAAGACCCATCCAGTTCCAGATTTTCTCCGAGAAAAGAGCGCGATGAGAAAACGCTTCCTCGTGCCCAT